TCCCCTCTCTCTCTTTGTATCTTTGGTATAATGGGCTGTCAACATCAACTCCATCAACCAATCAAGAGGCAGCAGCGCAGCCAACCAGCCGCGTAAAATTGGAAGTATCTAGGCGACGTTTCGATGAAGTCTCATTCATCATCTTCAGGCTTGTGTCTCCAAGAAGCACAAAGCCGAAACACAAGCCTGAAGATGATGAATGAGACTTCATCGAAACGTCACCTAGATACTTCCAATTTTACGCGGGAGAAAACCCGAATAACCAAAGACCCACATACAAATACCCGCGAAAACCTCAGAAATATATATTGTTTTCTTAAGTTTTTGCGGGTACTTACATGTATGGTATTCAGCTTTGTTCGGGTATTTTCCCACGTCATTATAGTTGTGCTTTTCAAGTTGTAGCAACATTTCGGCAGAATCTCATCTGCCATCAGCCTGACTCACAGCCTGACTCACAGACAACCCTAATACACAAGCCTGGTGATGAGAGCGTGTTGGAATGCCAAGGATGCTATCAGTTCCAAAGAATTAACTCTGTGAAGTCTGAGCCAGCTTGCCTGCCTGTGTTTGTGTGAGTTTGTACTCTTTCATCTTTTGGGAAAAGAAGAAAGGTGAGACAGAACACACACACACACACACACATAGATGTGTGTGTGTGTGTGTGTGTGTGTGTGTGTGTGTGTGTGTGTGTGTGTGTGTGTATTTTCTGAGGTTCTTGCGGCTATTTGTATGTGGATCTTTGGTTATTCGGGTTTTCTCCCGCATAAAATTGGAAGTATCTAGGCGACGTTTCGATGAAGTCTCATTCTGAGATTTACTCTGAGAAGCACAAAGCTGAAGACACAAGTCTGAAGATGATGATATATATATACTGTATGACAGTATATATACTGTCCCTCCGTCTGTCTGTCTCTGTCTGTCTGTCAATCTATCACCTTTGCTGCCCACCTCAGACTCAGGAAACTTCTGCCCTTCCCTTTGATCTCCCGAGTACTCACCGACCTCAGAATGGAGAAACTTCCAGGATAATAGGTGCCGTTGACACACGACTTGCATTTTCGCCTCTGTGTGTAGAGAGAAGGAGAAAAGTTGGCCTAAAATGCCTCGGTAGCAAAAGGCGGCTTAAACACACCCGTCCTCTGGAATGGGGGAGGTTTCCTGATCCAGCTGTCTGACTACAACTCCCATCCTCTCTGCAGGCTGAGCTTAGTAGAAATGAATAAACCCCTTCCAGATCAGTCCAGGAAGGAAACAATCTCCTTCCCTTCTCGTATTGATGATGTTCCCTAGGTGGGTCATGAAACGTCTGCAAGGAAACAACCCAGCCCAGAGGCCCCAAGGACCCCATAGTTCTCTTCCCCCTCCCCCTCCTTCTCTTCCTCCTCTCCCTTTTCCTTTCTCTTCCTCTCCCTCCTTCTCTGATTCCTCCTCCTCTTATTTCTTTTTTCCTCCTCCTCCTCCTTCCCTTCCTCCTTTCCTCCTTTCCCTCCTCCTCCCCCTCCCCCTCCTCTTCCTCCTTCTCCCCCTCCCACTCCTTCTCTCCATAAACCCTCCTCTCTTCTAGCACTGAAGGTGTTTGTTTGTTTGTTTGTTTATTTATTTGATTTGTCAATCACTTACAAGATAATAGGTATAAGTAAAAACATAGTTATGAATACATCGATACATATAAGAAAAATAAAAGAAACAATAGGACAGGGACGGGAGGCATGTTGGTGTGCTTATGCACGCCCCCTACAGACCTCTTAGGAAAGGGGTGAGGTCAATAGTAGACAGTCTAAGGTTAAAGTTTTTGGGGTTTGGGGAAGAGACTACAGAGTCAGGTAGAGGATTCCAGACATTGACCCCTCTGTTGCTGAAGTCGTATTTTCTGCAGTCAAGTTTGGTGCGGTTAACCTTGAGTTTGTATCTATTGTGTGCTCTTGTGTTGTTATGGTTGAAGCCGAAGTATTCATTGACAGGTAGCACATTGCACTGTATGATTTTATATACCGTACTTAGATCAGACCGAAGACGGCGTAATTCAAGGTTTTCTAGGTCTAGAATTTCGAGTCTGGTGGCATAAGGTCTTCTACAACGAGTAGAGGAGTGGAGAACTCCTCTTGTGAAATATTTCTGGACTTTCTCAACTGTGTTAATATCAGATACATGATATGAGTTCCAGACTGATGAGCTGTATTCAAGTATTGGTCCAGCAAATGTTTTTCATATAATAAGGCCGGGTCTTATTTTTTTTTGAGCCCTGAAAAAATGGCTAGGTTGTCTTTTCGGTGGTGACTTAATTCCCCCCCCCCCCTTGCATCTTCGGGCGGACGGCGACAGCTTGGATGTTGACCTCGGCGTTGGTGGGGCACTTCGTATCGGGGTCAACGCAGGCAGCACCATATCCGGGTGTGCAACAAAAGTACTTCCTAAGGGCAAGCCCCCCCACCATTCCCCCCCCCATTTTGCATGTTTTAATATAGGCCTTAATTTGGGGGGAGGGGCTTAATTTCATTTCAGGCCTATAAAACATGCTGGGACTTCCTATTGGGGGAGGCCGTATTGTTGGAGAAACAGGGTAGTTAGTAGTGTGATATTACCAGAGAAAAAGCTACGTAGGATTAGGTTAACAACTCTTAATGCCTTTTTGGCTATGTAGTTACTAGTTTGGTCATGAAACATGTTAAAAAGAAAACCAAGCTCACAGACCACTAAGGACCCCACATCCTTCCTCCTATTCCTCCTCGTCCTCATCCTCCTCTCTGCAACCCCCCCTCCCTTCTAGTACTGTTATCTAGTTGGGTCATGAGACGTCTGCAAGGAAACCAGCCACTCAGAGAGCCCCAAGGACCCTTCCTCCTCCTCCTCCTCCTCCTCCTCCTCCATTCCACAAACCCTCCTTCCCTTCTAGCACTGATGAAGTTACCTAGCTGGGTCATGAAACGCCTGCAATCCCAAACTCGGCTTGCCGTCTAAGCTGAAACTATAAAACTTGGGTTTCGTGAAGGAAACGTTCGAAATACGAATGGAGATGTTTCGCTGCGGAATGTCAGTAGATGATGAGTTTCCCGTGACTTACAAGTGCTGAGGATCCGTACCCGATTTGGAGCTGAACTCGGATTTTCTGCTCTTCCCTCTCTACTCATCGCTCGTATGTTCTCATCCCCCCTCTCCTTTGGACGCCACCCCCGAACGAGCTCACCTTCTTCGCCTGGGGGGCGGTTGCCCCCAAAGCCAGGAGGACACCCAAGATCAGCCAAACGTTCTTCATTCTCGGTGTTTGTTTCTCTGCTCTTTGTCCTCCGAAGCGAGAGAGGCCATGTGACGTTGTCCCTCCCCTGGTTTGGCTCCAATCTCTTCCTCCCATTGATGGGAGTCTGGCCGGAGGAAGAGCTGTTGACCTTCGGGGATTGGTCACCGGACAGCAAACCAAGGGACCAGTGCCCACTTGGTCAAAGCAAACTGACTCAAATGTAAACGGACCTCACATGGTGTAGAGGTCGTTTGTGGTTCCGCAAAGGTTTACTGAGCAACATAGAATAACTCTTGGAATACTTTTTGTGGGAATGTATCTTTGTGCAACAACTACAGCAGTATTCAGCCAGTAGATGGCAGTGTTTACAAGGTTGGCTCTGTTGTACTAAGTAGAGTTTCAAGCAGTTAAGCAATAAAGCACATGGTGACGGTTCTGTTTGTTTGGTCTGTGGTGCTATGTATCCTATAAACAGAATTTCTAACAAGAACGTAGTTGGAAGGAAGCTTGAAGATCTTCTAATCCAATTCCCTGCTCAGGCAGCAGAACATTACAGTATGACAGAGTTGGAAGGGACCTTGGAGGTCATCTAGTCTGACCCCCTGCTTGAGCAGGAGGCATTTACAAAATGACGGAGTGGGAAGGGACCTTGGAGGTCTTCTAGTCCCACCCCCTGCTCAGGCAAGGTGACCATTCAAGAATGACAGAATCACAAATTCTGGTGGCAAGCAGTTCCCCTGGTTAATTGTCCTCCCTGTTGGGAAATTTCCAGGTTTTCCTCTGCTTACAATCAATTGTCTACCAACCATTCAAAGTTTCCACAGCACTGAAAAAAAGTGACTTATGACTAAGTCCTCACCATTTCATTGCAGCCTCCTCACAATTCAGTATATCCGCACAAACGGTATTCGAGGGGCTGCCCCAAAGGATGTGGGTGGGGGTCAACCTCTTCTCCAAAGCCCCTGAAGGCCGGACAAGAAGCAACCGATGGAAACTAATCCAGGAGAGAAGCAACCTGGAATTAAGGAGAAACTTCCCGAGAGTGAAGACAACTAATCAGTGGAACAGCTCGCCACCAGACGTGGCTGCTCCATCAATGGAAGTTTTTAAGGAGAGACTTATCTGAAATGGCAAAGGGTCTCCTGTTTGAGCAGGGGGCTGGACTAGAAGACCTCCAAGGTGCCTTCCAGCTTTTCTTCTCTATTCTATTTTCTTCTCTATTTTCTCTTTTCTTCTCTTCAAGTATTTTATCCTATTCTTTTCTCTTCTCTTCTCCTCTTCCCTTCTCTATTTTATCTTCTCTTCCTTTTCTTCTCCTCCCTCTCCATCTCTGTTCTGTTCTATTCTCTATTTTCTCTTCTCCTATTCTATTTATTCTCTATTTTCTCTTCTCTTTTCTTCTCCTCACCTCTCCACTGCTGTGCTGTTCTGTTCTCTTCTCCTCTCCACTTCTATCATTTCTATTCTATTCTCTATTTTGCCTTCTCTTCTCTTCTCTTCTCTTCTCTTCTCTTCTCTTCTCTTCTCTTCTCTCCTATTCTATTCCCTATTCTATTCTTTCTCAATTCCATTCCATTCTTCATTTCTCTTCTCTTTCTTCTCTTGGTCAGCAGACCAACTTTTCTTCTTATTTCTCATGGTTGTTTTTTCCCCCAAAAAAACAAGAGGTCAGTCTGGGCTGCCTTCCAACCCCCCACGCCCCACCCTTTCCTGTTGTGTGAAGTGAAAGTGGAACGCCTCCAGCAGCTTTCTGGCGGTCGCCCCACTCCAGCGGCGGGGCAGCTTTGAGAGCCGCAGCTGCGAAGGGCAGGGAAGGTAAGAAGGGTGGGGGAGGGAGGCCCAAGAGTGGGGAACAGGGAAGCGGGGGAGGGCGGGGGGGGGAGGGACAGAGACAGTGAGAGAAAATGGGGGGGGGGGAAGGGAGGGAGGAGAAGGAGGCTTCTCTGGAAGATTGTGTGTGTGTGTGTGTGTGTGTGTTGTGTCGAGTTGGGTTAAAGTGCTTGAATTTTGATCCTGTTTACAAGGACGGCGGGGCGGGGGAGTGGGAGACAGACCAGGCCGCCTCCCCCTCTCCCCGTTGCAAATCCATCAGTTAATTAATTACAACGCGCTAATTTGCCTTTTTGCCCCCTTCTTCTTGGGGCCCCGTGGGCTCGAAAGCTTTTGCAGGCTTCACGCTTGCAGCCTTATCGGTCAGGGACAGAAGGCCGAGGGCTGCATAATCTTTGAGAACAGAACAGAACAGCATAACGGAGTGTAGGTCATCTAGTCCGACCCCCTGTTTGAGCAGGAGCTGCTTACAGAATGACAGAATGATGGAGTGGGAAGGGACCTTGGAGGTCCTCTAGTCGGACCCCCTGTTTGAGCAGCAGACCCTAGACCATCTTAGACAAGTGGGTGTCCAGTCTCTTCTTGAAAGCCTCCAGTGATGGAGCCCCCACAATTTCTGGTGGCAAGCAGTTCCACTGGTTAATTGTCCTCCCAGTCAGGAAATTCCGCCTTAATTCCAGGTTGCTTCTCTCCTTGGTTAGTTTCCATCCGTCGCTTCTTGTCCTGCCTTCTGACTCCCTCATCTTTATCAGTCTCCTCCCCTTACATAACTACAAACTGGACAAAAAAACCTACAAATTAACAATGGCAGCTACGTACAAAGAAAATCTCTACAAAATCGTTCTATTGTTGGCATCTAGCACCAAGGAGATTGGCCAGAATTTACCCAAATCTGAACCCGATATGTTGGAAATGCAAAAAGAAATGAGGCACCTTCTTTCATATGTGGTGGTCGTGTTCTAAAGCAAATAAATTTTGGAATAAATTAAAGATTTGGCTGCAAGACTTAATTGGTTTAAAAATAGAACTTAAGCCTGAAATGTTCTTATTGGGGTTAATCAGAGGTAAATACAAGAAAGACGTTGAATATATAATAATACATATACTAACAATAGCTAGAATAACGTATGCCCAAAATTGGAAATTAGAGAGTAGTCCCACAGATAATATAATTATAAAAAAAATTATGGATTGTGCAGAAATGAATACATTTACAATGGAATTGCAGGAGAAGGAAGAAAAAAAATATTACACGGTTTGAGAAAAATTGTATGTTTGGTTAGATAATGTAAAATGTAAATGTAAATGATTTATATGAATGTAAATGAATACGGGAAAGTCAATGCCACAACTTACTGCAAAAATTGTATATATGGTTTGTTTTTGAAAGTGTAAAAATTTAATAAAATTTTCTTTAAAAAAAGACTACAAATAGTTTAAAGCCTTCCTATCCATATTTAACAAAAAAAAAACACCACATACTATATAAAATAAATATTCCAGATGTGGAAATTGATCTGTGTAATAATCAAAGCTTAATTTGATTAATTGTTCCAACTCTTCTAGGTTGGATCTCTCCTTCGTTAGTTTCCATCCATGGCTTCTTGTCCTGCTTGCTTTGGAGAATTGACCTTCTCTTCCTTGGGGCAACCCCCCAAATATTGCAAAACTGTCAAATACTGTCAATCAATCAACCTTGTAGATGACCCTTATTCTGTCACGGACCTCAGAGTACTCCTATCAAAAGACCTAAGCACCAGAGATCACTCCGGAAATATAGAATTGGTAACCAGAGCAGGGGTCTTTTGGACCTCAGGGACCACCAAATTTATAATTTTAAATCCCAAAAAAAGACTGCAGGAAAATTCCCCACCCCGTTTTCCTACCAATCAATCGTTCTTTATTTGGGATCACATGATGCCTTCTCCAGCTCCGCTCTCAGGGAGAGAGAGAGAGAAAGAGAGACTTTTGGCTACATGCAAGGAAAGCAGCAGAAGCCGCAGAAGTCTTTCTTTCTCTCCCCCCAAACTCCACCAGAAATGTGTCTTTGTGAGACTTGTCATGCCGGCGCAGCCTCTCGGAGCAGGAGGCCTTGCAGGGTCCCAAAGACTCATTTCTGGCAGAGTTTGGGGAAGAGAAAGAAAGACTTTGGCTGCTTTCCTTGCATGCAGCCAAAAGCAGAAGAAGAAAGAAGCAGAAAGAAGCAGCCCGGTGGCCAGGCCAGGCGTGTGGGGCAAGTGGGGTGAATCCCCCCACTCTGCCCTTTCCCTCCTCCCCTCACTACCTCCTGTTGCTTGCAATGCAAGCGATGCAAGCCTTGTGTTCCCGCAGGCCATGTGGGCGGCGCAGCCTTGTCTTCCTGGGCAGCCTGGATTAATTGCTTTGGGGGGATGACATTTCTCTGAAGACCACCAAAATCTTCTTGCAGACCACCAGTGATCCCCGGCCCACTGGTTGGCAACCACTGAACTAGAGCATACAAAACCTTTCCTAGACCAATACTCGAATACAGCTCATCTGTCTGGAATCTGCACTGTATATTGGATATTAATATGGTTGAGCGAATCCAGAAGTATTTCACGAGAAGAGTAGTACACTCCTCTACTCGCAACAGAATACCCTACATCAGGGGCCGCCAACCTTTTGGACCTCAGGGACCACCAAATTCATAATTTTAAATCCCAGGGACCACTAACCAGTTCTGTGGGCGTGGCCTAATTTGTGGGCATGGCTTGGTGATCATGTGACTGGCAGGGCATGGCTTGTATGTAAATATTATAAATATTTATATAAATATTGATCCTTTTATAAAAAAGAGCAACTTTTACACCAAATCAGGCAAAGCAGGCAGGCAGATTGAGTTGCTCACAGAATCATTCAGTGATCTATCAATCTGCCATCAGCTAGCTCAGCCTGTCACATAAAATTTGCTTGCCGTGAGTCTGCACTGAATAACAGAACCTTCAGTCCTAAGGGAGGTTTGGCTGTGCTTAAAAGCAGAGCCAAAGATCTAAAGACTAGCTAGAAAGCAAGAAATCCAACCATTTCCTGCTTCCTAGCTAATGTAAATCTCAGCAGAACACATGATGGTCGGAAAAAGGAAAAATAGCAATTTAGCAGGCAAGTTTGCTGGGTAAGGAGTGAGTGAGCGGGGAGGGTTCCCGCGGGCCATATAGGCGGTGCAGCCTTGTGTTTCTGCGCAGCCTGGATTAATTGCTTTGGGGGGGGTGTGCTCTGGGGGTGAGATTTCTCTGTGGCCCACCCAAATTTTCTCGTGGTCCACCAGTTGGCAACCGCTGCCCTACATCACCAGGCTTGAAATTTTGAGGCTTGGACAACGTAGAACTATGCCACCTACGGTTGAACTTAAGCGTAGTACACAAAATTATCTGCTACAATGTCCTATCAGTCAATGACTTCAGCTTCAACCGCAACAACACAAGAGCATACAACAGATACAAACTCAATGTAAACCGCTCCAAACTCGATTGCAAGAAGCACAACTTCAGCAACCGAGGGGTCAATGCCTGGAATGCCCTCCCTGACTCTGTTGTTACATCCTCTAACCCCCCCCCAGTCCTTTAACCTCAAACTATCCACTATTGACCTCACCCCATTCCTTTTTTAAAAAAACAATTTTATTTCTGTTTTCACACAACACAGAAAAATAAAACATCTCTTTTTAGTGAACAGCTTGGTTCCAGGTTTTCAAATCTCCATACAGATATAAGCTCAGTTACATATTCATCTTTCATCTTTCATATTCAATTTCATATCTTATCACTAAATATTCTTTATTAATTTTTCCCCTCAAATACTTCCCTCAGGCTTATTTTATAACAACTTAACCCCATTCCTTTTTTTTAAAAAAAAACAAGTTTTATTAATTTTTCAAAAACAAACAAATCATCATTAACCATTACATACTTAAACCTTTTTCCATTATAAATTTAACAAGTCAGATAAAACCTTATTTTATACACTATAATTCTATTTTAAACCATTTCCATATAAGCATACCAAAACCTCTTATCCAATTTCTCTTTACTTCTCTTTATTCTTATTCAATTTCATTATTATTATTTCATCTATTTCTTTCTGACTTGGTTACCATTATTCTCATTCTATATTTCTGCAAGGTTTTATTAATTCTCCCAGAAACATAAACATACAACACACAGAACATAAAAAAAAAAAATCTTTTAGGAAAGTAACTTGGCCCCAGATATCTCTCTCTTCATGGACTTCAATTATATTCATGCTCATCTTATATGTCATTACTTATTTTATTTACCATTCTAAGTCTTCTATATTAACTTCTCCACACATTTCACTCTTCTTAATTCTATCTTAATTAATCCATCTTAATTTGAGTCATTACATTTGTATCTTTTGTCCATTCTTTATTGTCCCTTTGTCTCGTTCCTTATAATAATAAAAAAAAGAATTTCTCCTGAAATCACTAATCAGAGTATGATGCCTTTCTATCTCCCCTCTAAATTAATCAAATTAACATTTAAAATAACACCCAGTACCCAATCCGATTCTGCTTGGTACATTCTATCTAAATAGTAAATCCAAAATAATTAAATACATAGTTAAACAGTAAATCTAAATGTTGAATCTTATAACATTCCCATTGTCTTTTCCAAAAACAAATGCTATAATAAAAATTTTATAATAACATCAATACCATAATCTTATTAAACTCTTTAATTAAAACTCAATATTCTAAACCTTCCCTTTAATATTATTAAATTTAAAATCAATCATTACAAAACATTTCAACATTTTAATCTCTTATCAACTCTTAAACCATTTTAGTTTTCTATTTCTAATACAATGCTACAATATCATCTTATGTACCTTGCAAAATCTTTTTTAAAGAATTTATACTTTACCCTTTATCCCTAAAAAAGATTCCTTTTTTCCCATCTAGTTTCAAAACTTTGTGGCTTTTCTCCACCATTTTCCTTCCTTTCTTC